AAATGGGTCTGTTTAAAAGATACAATAGTGTCCTTGAGTTTTCTACCACATTGTTAATTTTTTACCTAAATTCAATATGAACTATCTAGTATGATATTATGTGAATAAACCTTAACGAAACTGCGTAGTTTACAAAATTTTGCTTGATTATTTATAGATACCTAATTCATCCTCAATAGTCAATGCGCTTGCTTTAGTAGGAAGCTGCGGAGGTTCTAAGTTACTGATTCTCTAATTATAATAGACTACATTTTCTATTTCGTCGTTATTTTCATTTACCTAATTAAACTTCCGAATAAATAAAAACTATTGAGAGCAAAATATTAAAACTAACAGTAATAAAAAACATTAACTTTATTTGTATGAGTATAAGCCAAAGTAAAGTAACCTAACTTTTTCAGCGAATCTTTATTTTTTTTAATTATCTTGCGCTTTCTTAACATCATTTTCACAATTAAGAGTCCTGGAATTCTTTTTACGGAATATTATAATTTTAACCCTTTACTTAAACAAACTATAATATTTTTAATAAAATAAAATAAAAATTATTTTCCGAAATTATTTAAAATGTTTTATGTTCCCAGAAATATAAGATAAACAACCAGATGTGTCTATAGATTTAATTTATTCCGAATGGTAAAAATTATCTAATTAAGAACATAATTTTGAAATTATCTAATTAAGGACATAATTTTGAAATTATCTAATTAAGGACATAATTTTGAAATTATCTAATTAAGGACACAATTTTGAAATTATCTAATTAAGGACATAATTTTGAAATTATCTAATTAAGGACTAATTAATCTAATCAAAATATGCCCTCGAACCAAAACTTTTTTTGACCACAAAAACCTTTAATGGTCTAATAAAGCGAATTTATTTTTAAGACTTAAGACCTTTTTATCAAACGTTAGAGAATCATAAAAAAAAAATCCTTTAAATGTGTACAAAACAAATTCACAAAACTGGGAACTGTTTAATCCCATAGCTGTTTATGTTTGTGTATTGTAACGTCAAAATACAGCTATTTTTTAGTTTGTCTAAATCTTTTCTAAAACATGAATAATTGTATTATAAGAGCAACTAAATAAAAAATAATTGTGTGCGTCCGTGGCGCAGTGGTTAGAGCGCTTGCTTTATGAGCAGGAGATCCAAGTTCGAAGCTTCCTGGCTAAATGCACTTCCGTGGTGCTCTGTGGCAAGACCATTAGGTCTTCTTGGGGCACCTGAATAACAATAAAAAAAAAATTAAAAAAATTAAAAATTTGAAAATTTAACTAGGACAAAAACAAAAGTTACTTTATAGAAATAAGACAAAATACTTATGCAAAATATTGGATAATTTGTATGATATTTTTTAAATTACCTGAATTTAATAGTGAATATAATGTAAAACAAGCTTAAATATTATTGGTGGAGTAGAAATAGAGAAACTGTATTCAAATTTCTATTTCAGTTATAATTATATTTACATAAATATGCTCCACATAAGTGCTAAGGGAGCATTAAAGAGGAAAGCAAACAACATAATACCACTGTGTTCAAAGGAATCTCGGGAACTGCTTTCTTCAGCAGCAACTCATGGATCACGGACGAAATCCTTGGACAAAATTTCAAGACGATTCCAAAAGTCGGGCACATTCTTGGCTCCTACCATCATCTAGTTGACACACGCCACGCACCACCACCAAGAGCTGGCATCACAAAAAAATTAAATGAAGTTGTGAATGCTCATAAAATATGTTTGAAGAGAAAATTGAATATGGATTTTTTTATACCGTTTGATATTCTTAATAAAAATATAAAATTGAAGAGTGAAGAGCATATCTTCTACAATCATCATATTGATGATGGAAAGAGCTTTGTATTAACTAGCCAAACGGTTGTTGAGCATCCTGCTAACAGGCAGTTGATACCAAAAAAGCCGGATCTTGATTATCTAGAGCAGCTGTATACAGAATCAAGCTCTGAAAATGATGATAACGCTGATGATTTTCAACCTTTGTTCGAACCACCCAAACGGAAGTTTAAATCAAAAGTGATAAATAATACTTTTAGAAATAAAAACATTTTTCTTTTTTTATTTATATTAATTTTATTTTTGGTTTAAGGCAATGCCGATTGCCATTATGTTCGCAGAAGCTGGTATTTCTACCCACAAAGGAGCAAGTGTAACTCGCTCATTAAGTGACTTCCATGGTGATATTCCAACTCCAAATTAATTAGCTGTTTTTAAAGCTAGATAAAGGTTGCAAGTCACAACTCTACTTAAACTTAAAGAAGCTTTGTCTGTTGAATTATTCTTTATATTACACTTTGATGGAAAAGGTGTGGCACCTTATGATTATGGATTTAAAAAAGTGGAACGCGTGGTCACCGCCCTTCAGTCTGATGGACCAATATTTTGGTACATTGGCTTCAAAACATTACATACTAGCGGAACATCTAAAAATATAGCAATTATGATAACGGAAACATTGTTAGAGTATAATGTTGTGCATAAAATATCCCTTGTAATTTGTGACACCTGTTTTGTCAATACATGTTAGTGAAACTAAAATTACTTATTTTTAAATGTACAATTAAATAAATTATTCCATTTTACTTTAGTTGGATCTTATGATGGTTCTGGTGGAGTAGTAGAGATATTAAGATCTAATCTATTTAGCAGACCTGTTCCTTATTATGGATGCAATGCTCACATTTTGGACCTTGTTTTGAAAAAATGGTAATTTTCCATGAGCCAACACCATCAAAATTGCCTGCTCTAACTGATTTTAAGTTCATTCAGAATCTAAAAAATAAGTATCCGCAATTGAAAGAATCATACAATATCCTGCATAAAACACCTCATCCTACTTTAAAAACCTGGAGAGATGATTATAAGCTATTAGCAAGGTTTGTTTTGTTAAAAATTTTTATTTTTGATATCAATTATTTGTATATGTGATGAATGCGTTGATCCATTTTACTGTTCATTTTTCCAGGTTATCTATTGTATTTAAGCACTATTTGAATACCAATATTTTACCCAAACTGCAGCTATCAACAAAATTACAAAGTTCTCACTCAGCAAGGTGGAACAGCAGAGCAATATATGTCTTGTTAGACTACTATCTAATTCCGCAAGAACGACCATTATTGAAAGAAATAGCTAAGTTTATTAGTTTTTCTTGGTCATTTGCATGGTTTAAAATGAGGGAAGAACCCAACTGGAAAAACTTAAAAGAAACTACATCAAGCTGCATTAAGAAGCTCAAAAAGCCCAAGAAGCTCTGAAAAGACATGTTCTTGGTGTAAAAATCTCATTCAAGAATGTGCATAAAACAAATGAGGTAGCTGAGAGAGTACTCCGAGCTATGGACATCCGATGTTGCCGGGCTAATTCTGATGATGCTCTTAAGAGACTTTTTTTAACAGAAATTTTCATGGAATTATTGAATAAAAATTAACTTAACTTTATAAACTTTCAATAGCTTATGTATAAAATAAAAAAAGACTTAAAAAAAGGGAATAATTTTGTCTTATTTCCATAAAGCATCTTTTCTTTATGACCTAGTAAAATTTTCAAATTTTTAATTATTTTTTATTTAGTTACTCTAAGAATACAATTATTAATGTTTTAGAAAAGGTTTTCATGACAAATTAAAAAATAGAATCACACTAGTGAATCATGGCAAGTATTTTAAACTTTTACACCATGTTAAAGCTTCATCTGCAGATTTCAAATTAGGTGAAATATTTGAATTTCTATTTATGTCTAAAGCAATTGGTATTTCAGAGGAATAATTTTGTAAATCTACCATAACATCTTCTACTTGAGAACTCATATTTTAAACAACTATTTCGATATTTACGTTTAAACATTGCCTGATGTCATTACATGTTTACGTCATTGGAATGCGGGATACGTCTATTACTTTTATTCAAAATCTTTATTAATATTTTAAATTAAAGTAAAAAGATTTATTTAAAAGACAAAATTTTTTTAACCTATTAAATTCTTTTTTTATTTTATATAATCCTTGTGCAAAAATTTGAAAAAAATTGTAATACTTATATATATATATATAGTTGATACTTCTAGAACGATCAGAAAACAAAATTAAAAAAACCGAAGTATAGTATATAATATTAAACTACTAATATATAATATTACTATTTTATTTTATTTTAATTACTAGTATATAATATTAAAAATAAAAATAAAAACTAAGATTTTTTATTTTCGTGTATTTTTGAACTAAACTTCCCCAACGGAATTAGCGTTATAAACAACATTTGTGTTGAATTAATTAATTTAGCTACAATATTAAATGCTTTGTATCTAAAAAGTTGTGAAATAGCTTTGAATTAATATTGGATTAGTTTTGTATTCAGCTTAGAAATTTAAAATGGTAAACAAATTTTGTTTTGCTTTTGCATCAGTATGAAGCTTTAAGCTTTTAAGATTTAAAAGATTTATTTGTGTTAGATGTGATGTGAAATGTTGTGAATTATTTTAAAACTGAATTATTATATTTTATATTGAATATGTGATAAATATATATATATATATATATATATATATATATATATATATATGTGTGTGTGTGTGTGTGTGTGTGTGTGTGTGTGTGTGTGTGTGTGTGTGTGTGTGTGTGTGTGTGTGTGTATACACATGTACACACACACATATATATATATATATATATATATATATATATATATATATATATATATATATATATATATATATATATATATATATATATATATATATATATATATATATATATATATATATATGTGTGTGTGTGTGTGTGTGTGTGTGTGTGTGTGTGTGTGTGTGTGTGTGTGTGTGTGTGTGTGTGTGTGTGTGTGGTGTGTGTATACACATGTACACACACACATACACACATATACATATATATATATATATATATATATATATATATATATATATATATATATATATATATATATATATATATATATATATATATATATATATTTACATATAGACACAGCTTTAATGTCAACTGTACGACAATCCAATCCCGTTTTACTGGAATCATATTTTGGCTTTCTGTGGTGTCCTGTGCAATTTTTATATCCATTTTTATTATCATTAAAAGTTTCAAGAAAGTATGAAAACAAATTGCATAAAAATGCTTTTGACATAGGTTGGTTTTCAATCAAACGAGATGCTACCGACATGGAATGGACTTCATTTCGCGGAATGTTGTGTAACCAGTTATTTATTATGTTTACGTATTCCGTTGTGGGAGCGATATTATCAAACAAATTCCCCAAATATAAAAAGTTTTATTATTCAATTGCTGGTACATTTTTGGTGTTAAACTTTATTTCCATTGAGGGATTCGCCTTTGTTTTTACATTAATTACAAGTTTTTATTTTGTTATACAGCTACGCAACCAAACTCTAATGTGGATGTTTATACTAACCTTTTTAGTCTGTTTTCACACAGATAATTATAGGCATTACTTATTCTCTTTATTCGGTATCAAAGTTCTTCACACTATTAATACCTATGTTTCTGTGTTAATGACAGTTTTACGTTTGATAAGTTACGGAACAGAAACCATAAATTCTTCAACTAGTACATTCTTTGAATACATTTGTTATTTATTTTACTACCCGTTATTTTTTCAAGGCCCAGTATTAACGTTTGACCTATTTATTACAGATTTTAATAAACCCAAAGAAAGATTTAATAAAGAAATTATTTTTAAATTTCTGAGGTGTGGTATTATTGGAGTCGCCATTGATGTCTATTTTCACTTCTCATTTGTGAATGCATTGTCAGCAAATACAAACTTATTGCAAACACTGAATGAGATTGAAGCTATCTCAGTGGGATGGCCTCTGATGGTTTTATTTATTTTAAAGTACAAAGTTTTTTATGGATTAGCGAACATATTTTCAAAACTAAATGGAATCGAAGCTCCTGCTCCTCCAAAATTTGTTTGTACATGGTACACTTTAGTTGACATGTGGAGATATTTTGATCAAGGATTTTATAGATTGCTTCAAAGATCAATTTATTTTCAAATGGGGGGATCGCATCAAAGTATTTTAAGAACATCAATAGCATCTTTGCTTTGTTTTGCATTTGTATCTTTATGGCACGGGAACGATCAACAGCATTGGTACTGGGGATTGTTAAACTGGTTGGGAATTTGTTTTGAACACTGTATAAAAAAAATAGTCAAAAGTAAATATGGAGAAAAATTACACAGCATAATTGGATGTAAAATGCAGCGAAGAATTGTTGGAGTAAGTGGGTCATTAACATATTTATTTTTAGTGTATTCAAATATGGTGTTTGTAACAAGCATCGAGTCGGCAAACTTGATTTATCTACAAGCATTGTCAAAGTGGTACTTTCCTTCTATTATCATCACCGTATACTTAGCAATTCAAGTTACTCATGATTTTAACGAGATTAAAAATAAAACGAAGAATTTTAATAAACAGGTTTAACAACGGTTTCAACACAGAAAAAGTTTAACCGTAGAAATATAAAATAAAAATTTCCGAGAACTAAGATTTATTGAAATAAAAAATTCTTATATTATTATAAAGTATATTTACAATTAAAAAAACTTATTAAGGCAACAAATTAAAAATTAAGTAGTCAAGAACTGAGTATACAATATACAAGGCCGGCGCGATAGGGGTGTGTGAGGGGTGTGAACCCCCCTCATCAATGATTTTTAGTCGGCAAATTTGACCCTTAGTCGGCAAATTTGAACCTTTTTGACTAGTTAGTCGGCAAATGTTAACCCTTTTGATATAGGTTAGTCGGTAATTCAGAGAGTTAGTCGGCATAGGTCTTCATTGCAGTCAGCAAATTTTCGAAAACGAGGACCTTTTTTTTTTTTTTAATTATTATTATTATTTTTTTAATGGCACCCTCACGTGACACCTACTCGCGCCGGCCCTGACAATATATATATATATATATATATATATATATATATATATATATATATATATATATATATATATATATATATATATATATATATATATATATATATATATATATATATATATATATATATATATATATATATATATATATATATATATATATATATATATATATATATATATATGATTTAAACGTAAATCATTTTTTTCCTATTTTAATGCTTTTAGTTGTTAGCGATTTTGTTGATTCTTTAGTCAACTGCGTCATCAGAGCTTCGTTTGTTTTTAACTTTTCTTCTACGTTTAATGTCAGCTGTACGAAAAAAATATAGAAGATAAAACTTAAAAAAATTATTTCAAGTAAAATGGTTCAATACAAGATAATAACAATTCTTAAAAGTAAATTTTGCACAATTATTATTATTTTGCATTTATTACTTTGATTAAACGTTTAATAGCAATAACAATCATAAAAACGTGTTCCTTAAATTTGAATCTTACTTATTCCTTTAGGTTTGAAAACATATATCTTACGCATTTTACAGAGATAAATATAACTCCATATGTAATTTTTACAATTATCTTTTAATTAAAATAAGCTAATATATAGTAAATAAAATTTAGATAATGGATTTGATAAAATAAATGAGGTAATATTAATTAAAAATACAACAAAATAAAAATAGATAATAAGGCTCAACATAAAATAGTTCAAGTTACACGTTAAAATACAAATTAAACAAATTAAATACAAATTAAACATGTTCTTGGGGCAAATTAACACAAATTTACCAGATCGCGTAAATTTTTACAGAAAAAATAACAAGTTTACTGCAACAAAAATAGCAAAATTCTTTTATAAGACTCTCACAACTATTATGTTTTAAATATTATTTGTATAAAACAGATGTTACCCAGGTAATACAAGTACATGACAAAAATATTTTTTTCATATGCCAAAATTATATAAACTAGATGTCTAACTTTCGGGATTTTATGGGACAAAAACTAAAGCCGCTTTTTTTTGTATAACAATAGTTCGCCATTTGTAAAAAGGGCAAAAGCTGAAGCTGAAGTGTGGAATAAAAGTTAAAAATGCAAGTTGAAAACTTCTAATAAATTAAAGATAATTCAAATACAAGTTCTAATAGTTATAAAATACTTATAAAAGTTTTGTTATGAGCTAATCCCAGTGGGCACAGAACGCAAAAAAGACGTCTTTTAAACATCTTTTGAACGTTTTGGACGTTTTTTGAACGTTCAAAAGACGTCCAAAACGACGTTTTATTTAGGTCCTGGGACGCTTACTAAAAAGTATTTTAATTCATAAAAATGCTTCAAAAGCGTCTGTCGTTTTACTTTTTTATTCAAAACTTTAATCCCATTTTAATCAAAAATAAATTAAGGAATCATAAATTATTATTTTACAAGTATTCTAATTTCAGCTTAACACTTTTACATAAGTAGTATTTAAATTTAAAAAATATATTTACTTCATTTAAGAAAAGAAAAGTTAAAAATATTTGTTTACAAATTTAATCCGCCATTTGTAAAGAGAGCAAAAAGCGGAAATCTATATTTAAAAAAAACTTTTACCAAGGAATATAAAAATTAGCGATCGCGATTGCTTCAAATAATATACTTTCAAGATCGCTAAATGGCTTTGGCCCATCGCAATTCGCGATCGCTTAATTTGCCCCTTGAAGATGTAGGCTTTATGTAACTTTGAAACCAATGGATAGATATAAAAATGAATGAAACGAAAATAGATGTGATGAGAACAAATGGGATTGGAATAGACGGAATTCCACCAAACATTTTTATCATTCATAGATTTAATTAACTAGATCATACTGGTAAATCTATAGATATTAAAAATTATACTAGTATATCGAGGCCACCAACTTTTTTCCAAATTTTTCAAATAAATGTAAATATAAAATATAAACATTTCCAAAATATTTCGATGTTTTTTACATTAAATTTTTTAACAGGTTGCTGCTGTTGTTACTTGATTTACTTGCAGCTTATCATCAAACTTTACGGGTTTTTTTTAGCTTGCTTTGCTGTTTTTGAGCTCTCTAAAACTCTTCAAAACTATATATTTAAAGATATTAAAACACTTCGTATCAATCTTTGACAAGTATACTTTTTTTCTTGTTCTGTGTGTCAACGAGTTGAGTACGAAATATTAGTTGCAAAGTGGCAACAAATATCGCTCTTTTAACTTAATTTGAACTGCTTTTGAATACCCATAGTGATTAAATATTAAAGGTTAGTATTAGCGGGGACATACAAGCAAGTAAGCAAACGAGTTGAATTTGGAGTTAACCATGGTGTTGGCGTTTTACAATGTATGCTGATGTTAGATCTTGTGGTTAAAGATTGCAATAGTTAAGATGTAGTGGTTATTAGTGGTGTTGTAGTTAGTCAAACAACAACATTGGTTTTATTTAATGAATATTGATTGATAAAACATTTGTAAAACTTTATTCAATAATTAAAAGCGAAAAAAATAAGCATTTTCATAACTATTTCATTATAATCTTCATGAGATAATTCCATTATCTATAATTTAATTTTAATTATATTTTAAAATAATTTCATTATCTCCCACTAAGTTTTAGATAAGAAATAATCAATTATCTTCTATCTAAAATTTTTTGGCAAAATTTTCATTTTATAAAAGTGTTTTTAAAGTCGATTTGAATTCAATACTTGCATACTTAGTTTGACAAGATAAATCGGATTATGGGTTTTATTTTTATTATAAAAACTTTATTTAAAATCGTTATAAAAATTCTCTCATGCTTGCTAACATGCAGTCTTATTTAAACTCATGCATTTCTTATTCTTTCTAACATGTAGTCTTATTCAAGTTTGTACATTCCTGTACATAATCCATTCACCCTATATAAATTCAACCTCTAAACTCACCTACTCTATAAATATTTTTATGTCCACTAGGAATATTCACTTTGTCCGTCATGTTGGAATTTTAATACACAGTATTGCAAATGAGTGGCGCAGAGGTCATATTTATATATGGAAAAAAAAAATTAATGGGAAAATGGCTGGAAGTTTTGGCGCCACAAGTCAAAAGTTTCGTTTTTTGTTCTTTTTGACCAATTTTGCACAAGTTTTGACGATTGGCGCGAACAATATCCTTATTCTAAACTATTAAAAATAAATTTTAATTTGTATGTTATAGTCTTAACTAACAAATAAGAATTAGTGTGTTACAGTTTCTATCTAGTTAAAACAAAACCTTAAAAACCACTATAATATGATGTTATAATCAAACAGAGTGTATAAATAATAAACACATTTATTTCCATTGCTTCTAATAATGTTTTCCATCTTAACTCCACTTCTAGAATTAAGAGTTTACAAAGAGATGTTAATGGGCGCAGTGACGCCGAGAGCATGGACCCAGCCCCCCCCCCCCCCCCCAACCTCTGTTGTAGTGAATTGATGTTTTGGGTAGATTGTGGGGGGGGGGGGGGACGGAGAACTACTAGGGGACAAAAGAAAATGAAGATTTTACGAACGTGTTGTGGTAACCTTGGGACACTTTGCCTTATGTTAAATTGGCAACTGGGAGAGCAAGAAGCCATGACCCCACTGTATAAAAGAAGAAACAAAAAATCTTCTAATAATTAAAGAAATTATGATGAATATTAATTATAAAGCTTAGACATGGCCCTCTAGTTCGAAAAACGTTTTTTTTTGCCGCTGCTGACTGGAGAAGAACAAGCTAGAGTGCGATGAAAATTTGCAAGAAATTGTTTAATATATAGTAACTATATAGTAAGCACAAAACTAAATAAATCAATATAATAAGATCTTTTAATCAAACAGAGTAATCAATAATATATATTTTAAAATAGTATATATTTTAAAGCTACTATATTTACAAATCAATTAGATATTTACAGTTTTATAGAAATGTAATGAGCATTTTACAAAGAGGTATTACTGGGTTCTGCTAGAGTATGAGAATCCTGAGCAAAAGATACTGTCTGTGAAACAAATAATGTTGGAGCAACGGCTGTAGCTGACTCCTTGTACGCATTTTTGTCTTTTTTCCTGTTTAGTTGTAGTAGGTCCTGCAGCTTTCTTTCACTCTTGACGCGTTCAACATTGTCTTGAATAAGTTTTAAGCTCTTTCTGACAAATCGTTGACCACATTTACAGATTTAACAAAATTCTGGAACTCAAGATATCCTGGAAATTTTTTCTAAAAGATTCGTGGAAGTTTCATCCAGATACATTTTTTTCATATTATGCCCTAGAATGATAAAGATTAACTACGATTGGGTAGAAACATAAGAGCTAAAGATGGGGGGATGATCGTTATGCTGCAAAACACTGGCAACACCGGGAACAACTGCTCTGACTCTCATAACTTCATTATTGTTATTGTCATCTCTCGGTTGAGTATAGAAACTTCGCCATTTCTTCCATGTCCTTGTAATGGTTACTGTCGGAAGAGGCAACATTATAACTGTAGATGAATTTAGGTACCAGGTATAATTTTTCCATGATTTGTCAACAACTTTGGCTGCAAGCTCAAATTTAGCATAGTGGCACGTCTGCCAGTAGTTCATCTGATCCTATAGAAAATATAGGTGTTGTTATTCAAGTAATTAACATTTTAACTATTATGGTAATTTAAGAAATTAGTTTATATACCAAACCTGAAAGGCAGCAGAATCTGCAAACTCGCATGTCAGAAACCATGGATCCCAGAACAGTGCAATAAACTCAGCCATCCTATTAATCTCTTTGATAATGTCTTCACTTAGATTAATGAATTAATGATCAGCCTGATACTTGGCAGCAGTAGCTCAAACTTCATGAAGTAAAGAGCTTTGCACATAAATCTTGCATGTGAAATGGCTCCAGTTTTGTGAATGCTATACCGGGTAGCCTGATCTTTATCAAGATACATATTTACAAGCTCAGCTAATTTGCAGAATTAAAAAAATTTAGAAACAATAGTATAGATGTACAAAAAGCTATTTTTTCTTTTTAGTACTTAAAACTTAATTTTTTTAACTTATCTCAGTGTTTCTCAATATATGTTGATCCTTAAGGTGTTTACAGATTTTCAGTGCTAAGCACGCTTGTTTCTCCACTAAGGTACCAATGTAATTTTGGTAGTTAAATTTGACTAACTCCTTTACTTGATTCCTGTCAACCTCTTGTCAGTACTGCTTCAGTGATTTAAACAATGGGTTTTGGGGACCAACAGTTTTGTGAGTTGCCACAGCATCCGAAAAATGCTTGATGTGAATTTTACCTACTGCCTTGCAAGTAGGTAAAATTCTTATTACTTATGATGCCTGCAAGCCATCATAAGTAACTTATGGCCATGAAACTTAGCCAACCTTGTGCAGACTCCTTTGAGACGACCAGTATTTGAAGCAGCAGTGTCAAAGCATAGCCCATGAAGGAACCGACCAATTTGAAAAGAATCAAGTAACTTCTGTATAGCTAAAAATTGTTCCTCTCCTGTTAGGTGGGTCTCATTGTTAAATCTTATGAGGACACACAGACGGTCTTTTGTCTCATCTGTTGCACCTGCAAAATCCCTAATGATTATCCCATCAAAGTGTAAAATTACTGGTGTATTAGTGTTGGTAACCATTTTACTTATATTACCTCTCAGAATAGCTGCATCCTCCCGTATGATTTTGTCAGATATTCTGTGACCGGAGCTGAGGGATAATGTAATATCATCAGTATTTCCACCAGCACTGGTAACAACAGAACTTATAAGTACATTTAATTGATTGTTAGAAATTCCCATTCCTATTGCAGTTCTAGCAGTTTTTGACACAATATATCTAGGAAATATGAGTACCTAACCTTAAGCAGCTTTCTTCCCTTTAAGTCGAGTTATCTCAAAATCTTCATCATCAAAACTTTGATCAGTACACTCAAGTTCAAAATCATCAAAACTATCTTTACTTTCAGTTAAAAATCTTGCCGATATTTCTGTTTCTGTCTTGTACAGAAGAAATTTCCTGACTTTCTCTTAATTTTGCTCTCGCACTGACCTGCTCAAAATGACTATCAAGTTCACCATTTTTTGGCTTTCCATCTGCTCCTCAATAAAAAGTATATCTTCTTCCTTGTCCGATATCAGTATGCGTCTATTAGACTGCAAACTTCTGTGAAGAATTTCCAAATCATCATCCACCCAAAACAACCCTATAAAAAAAATTGTATAGCTAAATTTTGTGGAAATGTTGAGTTGGGTTGTTTATAATATAAAAAAGGACTGCTATGGTTTATTGAGTTCACTTTATAGAATCACATAAGTGCCCAATAGGGAAAAATTTTCTAGTCAAAGTTTATTTTTGACTCACAAGAGTTTGTATCATTGCTATATTTTTAATCTTGAGTTATATGTTAAACTTTGTTCATTTTAGCTGCTTCTTTATTTCTGTTGCCTTCTAAAGATATCTTTAACTTTTTTCGAGTACCATAATAACTAACTCTCACTTTGTACTGAGATTTTTTTACTTTTTTATACTTTTTTACATACTTCTCAACTTGGGCTTTCAAGTTATTATCAGAAATGACCCTGAAGCTTGTCCTGGAACTTGAACTCCATGGAACCAAAATTCCAGAAAGAATACAACCTAATTCAAATTCACAATAAACACTTTCTTCAATGCACGGTAATCTAAACAAAAAGCTTTTTTTGAATAACATTCTATTATTATTCTTCAAACATTCTTCCCTGGTTAGAGTGAGTATAAATACATTACAGATATTTTATTTGATGTTAACCAAAAATATTTTTGATGTTACTTATATATAATGTTAAAAATTCTCACTTATTTTGATGAGGAAAAAAAAGGCTAAACTGAATGTTTTGTTTACAAGTGGACAAATTAAACATTTCAGCGCCATCTTTGGAAATCTGTCTCATAGGAACAGGTAATGTTGAATAATGTGCTTCCTCAAAAGAAGCTGGTTTCTTTTCATCTTTTCCTAAGTACCCCCTACAAGGAATATTGCTCTACTAGTAGACCATTTAGGAACACTTGGTTTCTTTCCTTTTTTTCCTATTACATGTTCTTCACTGGAATCCTCAGTTCCAAGCATAGTGACTTTTCTCAATACCCTTGTTGTGATTTTTCGTTTTATCTGACAGAAAGATTTTGGGATTAATAATTTTGCTCCATTTTATCTTATTTTAAAAACCTATTTAATTAATATAAATATTTAATAATAATAATATAATAAACATATAATATAAACAAAATAATATATAAAATTTATAATAATAATAACAAACCTACTTGATTGAGGAAAACCTAATTAAATTTAAAAACCTAATAAACTTACACCAGTTTTTGCATATTTTTCAACTCACATCGCACTCAATTTGTACTTTGCACTTATGCCATTCGCACTTATGATATTTGCACTAATTCAATCGCCTCCTTTTTTATTAATGCACATTCCAAAACAAATTTCAAGGGATTAGTTAAAACAAAAACAAAAAAACGTTAAATGCTCTGAGAAAGAATAAGTCCGTGAAAGATTAATTCTGCTCAGTTAAAAGCTGCTTGACACAGATGAACCATCTCCAGTGTCTAGAAGCACCAGAGATAATTTATCTCTACTTTGTAAAAAAAAGAAATGTAAATAAAAATGACCAATTTCTAAAAAAAAATGTACAAATATGAAGAGAGTGTAACAGAAAAGTCTAACTGCAAACGAAGTTTGTTTTTTTAAAACTAGTTTTTACATGAAACTGTTTGCTAAAATTAGACAGCAAATGCTTACAAGTTGTGGTCAGAAAATGCAAAATATTATTCTAATAGAACTTGCTAAAAAAATTTTATTATATACCGGGCTGAGTACATTTTTTTTTGTTATAATCTGGTATTTGGTTTTTGGCAGAATAGTTTGCAATATTTAGCCGAATACTTGTGACATCTCTAATAAAATGTAACTCTAGAAAAAATAAATATGAAAACCTTTCGAATGTGTTCATCCAAGGATGATTCAATAAGTTGTTTTAATTCCTTGACAGCAGGAGGCTCTGAAAAGAATTTTGAAAAAAATTAACCCACACAAAAAATATTTATAAAATATTTGGTAAGAGTTTTATTTAAGCTTCCTACCATCAACTTCAACAATTTCTTCTGTTTCTTTTTTTTCAACACAAATTTCCGCTTTGTTCTTAAAAAGAAAATATTAAGTCCTATGTCATTACAATCTTACAACACAAAAAATATTCAAGTAAAAACCTCAAAAAATATTAAATAAAAATTATTACACTTTTTACATGTAATTAATACACGCTATCTAAAACACAGACCTAATAATTATTTAAAAAAATTTTTGACAAAATTTTAAAAATTTTCATACACATATTATTCTTAAAATTACCCAAACTTAGAATTACCCAAAAAATACAAATTGTCGATTAATTCAAAGTAGTAAGATAAGGAATGCAAACAAACTGCTAAAGTCAGATCCAGTACAATAAAAATTACATAACCAAAGAAAGTAAATTTACTTGAAATGTTAGTTGGCTTTGTTAAACCGCCTCTATCTAAGTTTTGAGATAAGCACCATACTCATTAAAATATGAACATGTATCAGTATCAAGATCTTCATAACCAATTTTAAATTGAAGGTAACCAACAATGTATACTAAAGCCATTTTAACAGCATCAATTAAACTAGACTCTAATATTTTCAAAGAATCAAATATTTCACTTTCCTTTTGTGTTAATTGCCTCTGTCAGTTTATGCAAGTAACATGAAGCTCATGAAAGTCTGAATCATATTGTAAAAGTAGTTTTGAGTGCTCAATTTTAATTTTTTTTCAAACTTGTTGAACTGAAATAAAATAAGCACCACCAGTAACTTGACGCAACTTACTAAATGCTTTTTTAATAGGGTCAGATGAAAATCACCAAGTTTTACAAATTCGTAAAATGTACTTAACAAATAATTTGTTAACTCAACTATTCCTTTTAAGGTATGGACTATTGTTTTAGATGTTTCAACAGTCAGTGTTTTAATTTCTTTTTTTCCATTATGGTAATCCATATCTTTACAGATTTGTGATAATGAAAGTATCTGTTGCAGAGGTAGATCATCTGTTGCAGAGGTAGATCATCTGTTGCAGAGGTAGATCATCTGTTGCAGAGGTAGATCATCTGTTGCAGAGGTAGATCATCTGTTGCAGAGGTAGATCATCTGTTGCAGAGGTAATGACAGAGCGCAATTGCTCTCTTTTATCACCACCCAGTTTGTGAATATTAATAATTTTCCATGCATCTATAAACTTTTTTAAAAATACAACAGTTCATTTAACATTGGTTTGGTCTATTTTAGGATGTGTTGATAAAGCAGAAAGTGTTTCATCACAAAAAACTCGCTCAACAGGTTTTGGAAAGATTGAAGTTGTATTTAAATGTGAAAGAGTAACAAGCGCCTTACTTTCTAAATTATAAAAGTTCTTAAGATCATCCCACTTTGCAATTAAACTATCATCATTGTCCTTAAACTGAACTTCTTGAGTTTTTTCAGTAATCCAATTATTTCTTATGTTTTCTAAATATGAAAATAATCGCAAAGATAAAAAATGTTATTTTTAGTCATCCATGGTTTCTCTTCAAAAGTTTCAAAGAGAGAGAAAAACTTTACATTGACTTTACTATTGTCATATATAATCTAAAAATGATCCAAGTATAGAATCAACTACTTCAAACTGAAAACCTGAACAACATACTGAAATCATGCATACTATAAAAGTGGGTTCACCAAAAAGATATTTAAGCATAACAGCTAATATTGTTTTTGCTAATTTGTCTGGTTGATTAACAGATTTCCCTAAAAGTTCTCCACCATGATAAGTTAATGAAGCTTCAACATATACTTCATTAACTATTAGAATGCACTGTCGTTGTTGGTAAGTTTGCAAAAAACATGCAAAATAAATTCATCATTGTTTAATTTTAAAGCTTTTGATGTCAATTTTTGTAGAGTAGACACATTGGAAATCATTTTTGTAGAGTAGACACATTGGAAAGCTGTAAAACATTGGAAATCATTTCAAATTCACTTATAAAGTGCTCTTGAAACAGAAAAAATATTCAAAAACTCGAACAATAGTTTTTGAAGAATATAGTGTATCAACAATACTTAAAATTTTCATAGAAGATAAACTTTCTATAGTAACCTGTTTTTTTAATCGATAACTCAATATTAGTTAAAAATCTTATAGCTTCAGCCAAATTCAACCATTTGTCTAAAATAATTACATCATTTTTAGACAAACTTTTTACACAGCATAAGCATCCACAATGATGTCTCATATTTTAAATTAGAAGAAAGATTTAGTATGAACCTATAAAAAAAGTATTTAGATAGCAAAAATCTGTAAAAATTATTTTTTTTTTTTTATATATATACATTACAGTTTAGAGAAAGCTTATCTTACTTTGGTAAACTGCAGTAAAATTCAGCAGATTGAAAACAAATCTATTCATTATCATTTGTATACAATTATACACTTTTATAAATCTTTTGGTATTTTTTTTTGGTAATGAATAATCAAATCATTAAAATTCAAATAGCCCATGTCTTTGAACGTATCAAGTTGATCAGCTGTACATTTCTTGTACCAGTTGACGAAGTTGTAACAGAGGCAGAGAAGAGGGTCTTTCCTTACCATAATCATTAATTCTTTCAAAATTTATAGGCCAATGTTCAGAACATACAACAGTGTATTTGCTATCAGTAATGTTGCTTCTTAGAATAGTTGATAGCCACATTCTACATTCTTCTGGATCTTTTGGTAATCTGTAAACAGCACTTTTTTATTTGTTAAATAATTAGTAGGGCAATTCGCAACACAACACTTTAAAGGCATAATAAGTCTGAAGAAATATTTTTTCTCCCTCTAATTTTTAAAAACTATAATAACCTTCGGCAAATTTTTAGTTAATTGGCCTCCAGTTATTTTTACGGTTTGCACGATTAATAAGCACGATTAATGTTTTAAATAATTATGAATAAAAAAACTATTATATTAGTTATTTTGCTATGTTATTATTTCATTATATGAGGAGTTCATCTGCAAAACACGCTATGTCACAAAATTAAAAATTTGAGTTAATTCTACTTCTACATTCTACATACTGAAATCTATCATCTATTCGAATATTAGACCAATTAAAGAATTTTTGGTCTTAAAAAATAGACAAAGAAAATATCAATTTCTGTTGATGCGCAACTAAGAGTAGTTTAGTTTTTGTTGTTTTCTCAAAACCAGTCAGACTTTGTGCGTTTTGCAAATGGGTTTCTCATATTATTTAAGTTAAAAATATAAAAAACAAAAATACAAATAAAACAATTATACTATTAAAAGAATAATTAAATATTACAAACCTCATTAGCATTATATTGCAAAGTTTCTTCATCTAAATTAACTATAATTTGAAAAAACTGATTTAATAAAAGCATTAACTATAAAATCTGACACAACAAAAAAATAATAACCATAATAAAAGAAATCGTAATAGTCATGAACAAGATTTCAGAAAAAAATAACTTATGAAACAACAAATTACATTAGCAACACAGCAATAGAAGAAGGTAATAAGATAAGAAATGTAAAAACAGGACAGGGAGCAATTTTAAAAACATATGCGGTTGTGATATAGTCGAGATTATTTGCTTCATAAGCAAGAAATGCTATGATCAATTGCCACCATATCACAACAAATCCTTACACTAGCTTAGTCTGTCACAATGAATTCTAAATGCTACCCTATTTTATCACAACATATCCATTTAATAGCCTAGTTTGTTACAAGAAATCCTTAACCAAATCTAGTAAATATAAAAAAGCATTACAATTCCCTTCATTCATTTTTATTGCATCAACTCAAGCTTAAAAAAAAATTAAGTCAGTAATGATAACTAGGTTTACATTTTCTGTCAACATTTTTGGTCTAACTGTTATATTTAATCTTTTTACAACTAGAATTAGCAGTCTTTTTGGTCTAACTGTTATATTTAATCTTTTACAATTAGAATTAGAGTCTTTAATTAACAAACTTCTAGTATCTAATGGAGCCCAACAAATTATTTTCTGGCAGACTATACAGATTTCAATCATCTCAATCTACTGCTGGTTTATAAAAAATAAAAAGAATTAAAAAAAACAAAAAACAGAAAAAGTATGCAGTACTTTCGATGGTAGGAGATAAAGAGTTCTTGAATTGCTTTTGACACAATAAAGATCTTTAATGAAGCCTGCTGATAATCTTATCCTGATAAATGTCAACATTTTTACTATATCCTCTACTTGTAATCTTTACAGATTATCTTTCAAGATAATCTGTAAAGATTACAAGTTGGAGCTCAGAATTATTTTAACTGCAATGTAAAAAAGACATTTGAGAAAACTTATTGCTTAATATATAATTATAAAATATTATCAACACATCTTAATACAATTTAGGGTCCTAAAAAAGGATTTTGATCTTGAGAAAAAAAAGAAGCATAATGCTTTCCAACTTAATTCAACACAATTAAAGAACAAAAAATCAACTACAAAATTTTTTTTCAATGTTACACTAATGATTACTATACAAATTTTTATTTTAATGTTACAACAGCTTTAATCATTGGTATCACACCAGCTATATTCACTGCTGTTCAAATAAGATTTTATAGCTGCATTTAAATATATATATATATATATATATATATATATATATATATATATATATATATATATATATATATATATATATATATATATATATATATATATATATATATATATATATATATATATATATATATATATATATATATATGCTATAGTAGATCTATATATATATATATATATATATATATATATATGCTATAGCATATATATATATATCTACTATAGCATATATATATATATGTATATATATATATATATATATATATATCACTATAGCATATGATATATATATATATATATATAAATAAATATATATATATATATATATATATATATATATATATATATATATATATCACTATAGCATATGATATATATATATATATATATATATATATATATATATATATATATATATATATATATATATATATATATATATATATATATATATATATATATCACTATAGCATATGATATATATATATATATATATATATATATAATAATAATAATAATAATAATAATAATAATAATAAATGCTACCAAATTATTAAAACCTTTTCCAAACCTTTCTAATAAGAAATGTGAATCACTATTTCATTCATGCTGGTTTACAAAAAATTTGGATTTAATATTTTTACACACTTATTTAAACATACTATTTAAATTTTGTGTTAAAATTTTTAAACTTTTCAGGTATATTTTAATAGAAATTAAAATTCTTAAAACACTCACACTCCAAGTGGTTAACTGGCAAACATCATTAATACAAACTGGGGCCACAGCCAATGTATTCACATTTTAGTCTTAACTAGCTATACAAAACTGATAGATTTTACTTAAATTAGAGAAAACAATGAGTTAGGAGACACTGCAAATTAAAACAAATAATATGTTTCAAGATTAACCACGAAGCAATCTTCAAAAACTAAAGAATAATATTAAACGCTAACCTAAAAGTTAAGCCAAAAAATTTTTGCACATTAACGTCAATTTATGGCAAAATAAACATTTATGCATCAAGTTTCCTTTTGAATTTATCTTACATTTTTTGATTAATTTTAATTATGTTGCATACAATTACATAAAAATGTATAAAACTGGTACAGATATATCATTTCACGAATATTGTAATAAATTACAATTGTAATAAATAAATAGTCTTTATTAGAATATATCCCATAAAAATATATTCTATATATCTTTAATAGAAGTAGTTTTTCTAAAAAATTTGAATAAATCTTATTTCTATTTTGTTTTTCTAGTTTTTTTGTCACAAAGTGATGTCATGCTAAAGCCACATTTGTGGCTTCAATGATTTACAAAAAAGCTGCGCCTATCATTTTTAATGATCTAAGAAGCAGATGACATAATTTTAGCAATTAGAAATTATCAAGAGAGTGGCAAATCTAAAATTGAAGTTTCAAATTTTCAATCTTGTCAATTTTTATAAATATAATAACATACATACAAAAAAATCAAAACAAAACAGCTTGAGCAAAAACGACTTTTAATTATTAGAAAAGTTTACTTATATTACATACTATCCTGAATAAAACATTATATAAGTGGATTTTTTACATTTTATAAACAATATATATATAAAAATAACATATTAGTTTATATATATTGTTTATATAGAGATGGACATTACATAATTTCAAGTTTACATAAGTAAGATATTTGCATACACTTTTGCTCATGTTTTGTTGTAACGAAATGTACTATGACTCTTTCTCACAACTACCTTGGTTGCAATGGCTGCCAAGGTTCTGTGTCAAACCTGCTCAAAGGGGCATTAACACTATAAAGTTCGGCAATAATATATAGAGTTTTTATATTGGAATTTTAGCATTAAGTTTTTTTTTTTATTATATTTTGATGTTCTATAGCATACATCCTTTAACCACATCATTGTAATTATATAATTAAAGCCAATGGGGCTTCAGGACATGCATAAACTGAGGGTTGGAGTTAATCCCAATTTAAATTAGTATAACAAAGAACAAGTACCCTTACGGAAATATTCCATGGAAAACCCATGGAATTCCTTTAGTAAACCATGGTTTTCCCATGAAAAACGGAAATTCCATGAAATTTCCATGGGTGAATTTCATGAAAATTGAAATTCATAGCTTATGCTGTGCCATGGTTGTTGCCAATGCGCTTTTAAAGATGGCATCATTGCTCGTAGAGTTACGATTACTTTTAACTTGAGTAAACAATAATTACTGCATTCGTCTGTTTTTCTGTATTTAATAAGACTATAAATTATATGTTTTTTATAATGCATCACATTTATATGATTCAAACTAAACATACAGACATAAACAACTAGATATATTTATCATATTATAATGCATTATAAAATAAATTATTTTTAATTATATTTAATTATATATCATTTATGCATATACTTATTTTAACTGTTTACATAACTTGCTATAGTATAGCAAGTATGTCAAGTAAACTAGTTTGAATTTTAATGCTTACTTGGCAAATTATTTGCCAAATAATTATTATTTGGTTTACAACAAATAAATGTTTAGTTTTAATCTACATTAAACAACTAGTGTATTAATGTACACAGTGTAATCTGATGTACATTAAAACTAATATTATTATTATTATAAAACTTATCTAACATATTAAACAAACTTATCTAAAATATTAATATATAAGCAGTATATCAGATAAGATTAGATAACTAAGATAATAAGATTAGATAAATAATGTACAAAAGATAACTAGTATGATCTTTTTTTTTTTTTTTTTTATAATAGCCTTAGATTACATTTTTTATTTTTATAATAGCCTTAGATTACATAAAAATGCTTGATGTTTATTGTATGGTAAATGTTCATTAAGTATTAAAAAACATTTTTTTATGATAAATGTTCTATTCAATTTAGTTCTGTTAAGTTGTTTTTGTCTTTTTGTTGTTGTTTTTTCTTTAGAATTATTAGAATATGTAAATAATGTAATATTGTTTATAAATTCTTTTATATTTACTTTTTTTACTATTATTTTATTTAAATTACTACATTATAAGCCGACAGGTTTGACTGGCAATATAAATAATGTTGTTCATCGCCAGTTTTTAATATTGTTTATAACATCGTCAATTTTTATATGCATTTAATATTTTTAAAAATAGTTCAAAAGCTGTCAAAATAAAATGGTGAATTGAGTTTATATTAACCAGAAAAGATATAAACGTAATCTTTAGGATTCAAATTGTAAGGATGTTCCAAGAACCACTTAGATGGAGAAGGAAAACAGTGGTAATATTTTAAAAGTATCAGAAAGGGAAGTTAATTAATGCATAAGATTTTACTTCATAGTTAAATATAAGCATATAAAAGCAATGTTTATAAATAATACACTATTATTTATTATAATACAATTATTTTTATTTGTTTATATTTAACTAATGTAAAGTGCTCGTCTTTAGTTAAAATAAATTAATTTATGCACACACTTTGATATTTATTATGCTTTTACATTACTATACTTTATAAATTACATATTTGTTATGTTTTAAATAGTAAAGTAAAAATATAATAAATTTTTGAATTTAATAGTGTGTGTGTAAGTTCTTTTACTTTAACTTTATCATTTTATTTAAATTACTGCATTATAAGCAGGTAAGTTTGACTGACAAAATAAATAATGTTGTACATCATGCAGACAGCTCAGACAAAGAAGTAAGTTTTTACTTAAAATTACAATTTATAAGTTATACTA